AAGTAAGAAAACTCAGAGTTAGAATGTTTGCAAGAGAAGGACATTACAATAAATTTACTTGAATTAAGGGACATTAGCCAACTATTACACTAATTGCTGATAAGGTCGAAGTCATTTTGGATTGTTATATGATCACAAGTACTAGTTATTGCTCGGTAATTTATACAGTCATCAGCGAAAATGAGCACTTGTGAGGATAAATTACTTGGTAAGTCATTAATATAAATAAGAAAAAGCAGTGGACCGAGAACACTCTCTTGCGGCACATCAGAACAAACGTATTAAACTGGGGATGAAAAATCATTAAAATTGGTGAATTGCTCCCGGTTAGTAAGAAAGTTCCGTATCCATGACAGAGTTGATGAATCTATACACAAAGAAGATAGTTTAGAGATTGAGTGGCAGTGAGCAACACGATCGAAAGCTTTGAAAAAATCCAGAAAAAGACAGTCCATTTGCAAGTTTAGATCTAAGTGATGATGTAGGTCAGTCGTGAATTCGAAAATCTGTGTTTCGCATGATAGCGCCTTTCTAAATCCATATTGGTTTGGGAAGAAAAGTCATTCTGCTCTAAGTGATTCATCTACTTGTATATTACTGCCATCATGTCGTGTTAATGCCCAATGAAATTAGGTGTCATGAGCTGAAGTTTATTTATGTAGCTTTGTCTAGGGCTACCATCCTCGCACGCACCAGCGCCTAATATCAACTCATCCATTCTGGTGTCAGTAATACTCATATGCCAATCGGTACTGTTGCGCAAGTACAAACAACTGATTATATATACATCTAAAACTGTTCAGCATGCGCTTGTGCGTGCCACATCTATACTTTCATTTAGCGTCATTTCATAACGTGTTGCTCAATAAAAAAATTGTGAACAATGTCACCTTCTCTCTGCATGCTTCGCATAACGTCTATTCCCAAGGTACATGGGATTGGCCGAATTTGTTTTTGTATAAGGGTTTTTCTTGCCTAATGAAATTTATGTGTATTACGAGTTTCACACGCAATATGCTCTCTGGAGCAGTTGCTCTAGCTCCTCAAGTAAGTTCAGTAGTGGTGCTGTTCCTAAAGCCAGGACTCTCATTCTGAAAGAAAGCCCATTCGAATAGCAGTTACAAGTGCCTGTATGCAAGCAGAATGCATGCAAACGTACTGTCAGAGTTCGAATGCCAAAAATAAGAACCTTCGACTAGATTGCGATGCATGAAATTGGCATTCACGCACAAGAGTGTTGAGCTTCAGGTGCCGCTTCACTTATTTGCATGCTTTTTTTTCAAACACTCTGACTTGATATGTGTTGTTGAACGTCCCAAAACTACCATATGATTTTGAGAGACGCCATAGTGGAGGGCTCCGGAAATTTCGACCAACTGGAGTTCTTTAACCTGCACCCAAATCTGAGCACACGGGCCTACAACATTTCCGCCTCCATCAGCAATGCAGCCGCAGCAGCCGGGATCCAATCCCACGACCTTCGGGTCAGCAGCCGAGTACCTTAGCCAATAGACCACTGCGGTGGGGCAACCCTCTGACACTTTGTGGGAAAGCCTTTCTCTCATGCTATGACAGTTGTCAAAGTAATCAGTGAGATGGTAATGTGTAATTTATGTACCTTACAAAAGACAGTCGTACAATCTGATTGCAGCGTTCAGCAACCTTAAAATCGTCATGTGCACTGCGTTTAAGAGCAAGTGTTTAAAGCCAGGGTAAATCACGGATGATCTGCCATCGGCACTTTCCCGCTCAGTAGCAAGTGCGAAGCCTGACGTGAGAGAGAGCATCGGTAAATCTAAGTGAGTGAGAAAGAAGCATATTGTATAGCGAGTTTGGGCTATACCTTCTTGACCTAGAGTTTTCTATAGTCTAGAATGACGCGTCGCTGAAAACCAGAGGAAGCGTCAAAGCAGTGGAGAGCAATCTTGGGATAGGTAAATACCGGATGTATGCACAAAGCGACAGGAAAGGCAAAGTAACTACCAATATGAATAGACTAGTTGAAACAGCAGAGGTGTTTTACAGAGATCTGTACCGTGGCAGAGACAACAACGACAGTAATAAAAAAACTGGCAGTAACCCAGATAGTAATACACGAGTAATGATAGAAGTCAGACAAGCCCTGAAATGAATTCAAAGAGGCAAAGCTTCTGGTGAGGACCAGATAACGTCAGATCTACTGAAAGACGGAGGACAGATTGTGTTAAAAAAACTAGCCACCCTGTTTACTAAGTGTCTTATGGCGGGTAGAGTACCAGAATCTTGGAAGAATTCTATCATCTTATTACGTAAGAAACAAGGTCAAAAAGACTTGAAGATACACAGGCCGATCAGCTTGCTCTCCATCGTATACAAGCTATTTACAAAGGTAATTGCGAAAAGAAATAATATATTAGAATTTAGTCAACCAAAGGAACCAGCAGAATTTTGAGCAGAACACTCAACAATCAACCACACTCATACTATCAATCAGGTAATAAAGAAATGCTCAGAATATAGCCAACCATATACAGAGCTTTCATGGACTACAAGAAGGCGTTTGATGCCATGCAGACACTGCAGAATCAGGGTGCCTAGAAACATATATAAACATCCTGGAAAGAATATACGGAAGATCAACTGCCACTATAGCGGTCGATTAAAATATGACAGAATACCAATCAAGAAGGGTTAAGAAAAAAGGATACAATCTCCCCAATGCTATTTATCACGTGCCTACATCAGGTTGCCTACATCACGTGCCTACATCAACGAATAAGGAACAAGTGGTAATAGGCAGTACCTTAGCAACTTGCGCTTCGCCCATGACATTGCATCGCTTAATAATTCAGGGGATGAATTTCAACGCATGATTACTGAATTAGACAGGGATAGCAGAAAAATAGGTCTTAAAATTACTATGCAAAGCAACGAAAGTAATGTACAACAAACTGCGAAGAAAACAGCGCTTCGAGATAGGTAATATTGCACTTGAAGTTGTAAATGGTAAAACCGCAGAGCCGAACCGTTAGATTGAAGTAACTAGGAGAATAAGAATGATATGGAGCATATTTGTCAAGCACTCCGAACTCATATCTGGTAGATAGCCGCTATTCCTCAATATAAAGGTATATTACAGCTGCATCTTGCCAGTACTTAGCCATGGAGCAGAAACTTGGCGACTTGCAAAGAGGGTTCAGCTTCAAATGAGAACGCAGGGAGCGATGGAAAGGAAAATGATAGGTGTTTCCTTAAGGGACAAGAAGAGTGCAGATTGCATAAGGGAACTAACCAGGATTAGGTATTTCATAGTTAAAATTAAGAAATTGAAATGGGCATGGGCCAGGCATGTAAGGCGTAGGCAGGATAACCGCTGGTCAATAGGGTAACTCACAGTACTCTCAAAGAAGCCAATCAGGTTAGGGGGAGACAGGAAGTTAGGTGGGCAGATGAAATTAAGAAGTTTGCTGGTATAAAGTGGCAGCAACAAGCACAGGACCAAGTTGACTGGTGGAAGATGACAGAGGCTTTTGTCCTTCAGTGGACATAGTCAGGCTGCTGATGGTGATGATGAGGAGGATGATGATAATGAATAATAATATGATGATCATGATGATAGTCTAGAAGGCGTAGGTTGAGCCAGTTGAAAAACGCGTACCGATCTTGTGATTTGGTAAAAAAATTTTTAGTGCAGTCGCCTGACTGAAAAATTAACAGCGAGCCACTGAGCCAACGCAGTCACTATGCGAACAGAAAAGTTGTTTGTGACCAGTCGGTTTGGAGTGTATTGAACATGCGAGTATAGTATGACTCTATATTTTTTGTCTGTTGGGCACTGGAAGTTTGACTTAAGTATGTAAAATTTTAGATCGTATAGGTTGTAGCCTGAAGGTAGCGGGATCGAATCCCGGCTGCGGTGGTTCCATTTCCTATGGAGGCGGAAATGTTGTAGGCCCATGTTCTCAGATATGGGTGCACGTTAAAGAACCCTAGTTGGTCAGAATTTCCGTAGTCCTCCACTACGGCGTCTCTCATATACATATCGTGGTTTTGGGACGTTAAACCCCACATATCAATCAATCAAGCAATCAGGTTGTAGCCTGTTATGTTAAATTGTTGCCTCTCCTTTGTTTTGAATAAAGGAAAGAGTATGAAGCATATACACAGCCAAGAAGAAAATTCCACTTGTCAAAACGTAGGCTTCAGTACACAAACCCTGTTAGCGTAACTTTTAATAGGCAACGTTTTACGTGTTTGTATAGCACTTAAGACTTAAGCGTTTCGAACAGTGCACTCGAACTTCTCGCCTGGCTGTAGGTCAGCAGGCGTTTCAAAAGCGACACTCGATCAGCCCCTCTATATAGTTTTCAGAAGAGAGTTTAGAGCTTCGGGTGCAAATGGTACTAACGGTTCACTATACAAACCATATTGTTGTTATTTGCGAATAGACTGCGACCGACTGCAATGTACTAATAGATTCGGCTGAGGCAATTTACAGAATAGCCGACACACTGCGCTTTGCTAAGTGACTATGCTTAGCAAAGCGCAGTGTGTTACAGCTGTTATGCCTTATATTTAGTGGACTTCTCATTAACTATAATAAAGCTCTACTTAATTTATGCTTGTCTTTTAATGCAGCACACAAGACTATACGAGTAATACATGCAATCTGTTATCAGTTTTTTTTGACAAACGTCTAAAATGTTTTGTGTTCTGATTACTTCTAGCTTAGTTCTTTCGTTCTGTGCGAACCGCTAATGGGCCGTATATTAGTGCACATATTGTGTATTTTAATCTCCAGTAATTATTGTAATAAACAGGGCAAGCAGCCACTTGAAACGACCTTATTTTTCTCTGTTAAAGCAGTCGTCGATTCCCCATGAGTGTACGTGGCGGGCTGTCGCAATTCACTGTGGTTTTTCCAGTGCTATACGAGACCTTCATAGGTGCGTCTGTATGCTATCACTGGTAAATAATTATATATTTATTTATTTATTTTTCAAATACTCATTTATTCAGGTGTAATGACACCGCATGTGACTCGGACTGCAAGACCAAGTACGCCAAGAATACGGAATACAAGGGAGTCGCAGGACACTGCAAGAAAAAAGCGTGCGCCTGTACGCACATTGTCCGTGAGTATCGCTGCAGTTACCGTTGCCAATGAAATTTGATGTAGTTTTATAAAAAGACAGACTCTTCAATTCCTAATTGTGACTTTGGCGTGGATATGCATGCATGAAGTCCTATATAACAATTCTGCCTCTAATAATGCCCATAAACGTCGATATACCGGCTTTATATGAACCATCTCTTATACAGTGTACAGATTGGCAGCGCAAATGAAGAGTCAACTCAAGATGCATGCTAACCTTCGACTCCACATATTCGTTCCGCAAATTGGGAGTGCAAGAACGAACAAAAAACAGAGACTCGACTATATTTTTCTAAAATTACCTAGAGGCAACCCTGTCTCTGCAATCGTTCAGTGACCACGGAAATGATGGGTAGTACACGGAATTGCCTAGTATTCGTGCTTGCGATCTCCAAACGCACTTGTGGCTTTGTTTTTTGCTGTATTTTTGTTTTGTTTCGAATGAAAGAACGGATGCTTATAAACTTCGTGACCTATGGTGTGCACAAAATAATATATGGTGAAGCGCAACCACAGAATATTCGTTAATTTTTTTTGTTAGAAAAAAGCTCTAAACCACACAAACACACAAGAAGCCGGAAGTACGAGGATTAGGCAAAATATTATCATTCCCATCCTCACTGAAGCGCCCTGCGCTGACGCTCACATGGAGGCTAGCGCCAGAGTTCACCTCTAGTGTATATATAAGAAACTCTAAGCCACGAACCACCCAGCACGAGTGCTCACTAACTTTGTTTGTTTTCCTACAATGTAAGGAATGTAATCTCTTTGGGGGATTGGCCACGAATGTGCAACTCAGGCTTTTAAATGTTATGTTATGAATGATGGCTGATTTAAAAAATAAAGAAATATAAAGGCATGAATACGTAATACACTAAATTTAAACAACAAATATTCTGGATTTGAGCTTTTATTCCATACTGCGTGTAAACCTGATGGGATCAATTTTGAAGAACTCGGTGAAGTTCACCTTGTTGAAAGGACGCAGAATTTCAAATACCACATATAAATGGTACTCTTTAAGTAGCTCTAATGAAATTACAGTCAGCATCAAAAGCATCTCTGTGGCAGTATACCAAGCTTGAAGCAACAAAACTTAAAAAAGTTTTCCGCGATATGCTTAACCCTATTCTTGAAAGAATTGTAATGAGAGGTCGAGTTCTAACACGAGAATGCTTTAATAACAAAGAAGAAATGTTTAATACTTTCTAGTTCTTCGCAGAATTTGACAGACCAGCCCTATTCAAGTGTACATTCAAGGGAGGAGGGAGGGGCATGGAATCGAAATCTCGTAATCGTCACTTCTGATTGTCGAGATAGCCTCCACTGCAACTTCAATGAAAATATTAGGTGTTTATGTTTCTTCGGCGCGGTTATTGCTTCCATGTGATCTAAGTGAATAGCTAATCTGCTATACTTGATTGCCTCCCTTCTGTTGTTATTGTTCATTTCCGCCCTTTCCTTCGAGGGCCAAATCTCTGACGTGTCTCTTTCTATTCTGTTCCTCAGTTTGCACACCAGACAAGTGCACAGCTTCATGTAACGCCAAGCATGCTGGAATGCATAACCTTCAAGCGAAGTGTGACGGATACGTCTGTCGATGCACATGGGCAGTGTGTGAGTATATACAGATGTGCAAGTTTGGGTCACCAGATATACAACAGCCGTTTGTAACATTTTGGCTGTCCTGCCGCCGTAGTGTAGTGGCAAAGTTACGCGCGTGTATGATTGACAATGTCATCTATCCATGCACCCTCACTTTCGATTTATTGTGGTCATCGGGATATTGCGATCAGAATTGTAGGGCTGCTTTTTGCCATCAACGTCATGGTGGCTAGCGTAAGTATATATATATCTATCTATCTATATATATATATATATATATATAGTATAAAAAGAGGTCGACAAACGTGCGAAAAAACACTAGTTTTACTAACGTTTCGGCAGGTGGGCCTGCCTTCGTCGGAGTGATTCGCTCCGACGAAGGCAGGCCCACCTGCCGAAACGTTAGTGAAACTAGTGTTTTTTCGCACGTTTGTCGACCTCTTTTTATACTGCATTTTCCACCGGATCCATTGAATATCACCCCACCATATATATATATATATATATATATATATATATATATATATATATTATATATATATATATATATATATATATGTATATACTAAAAGCCCGAAAGCATTACGCAGGGGGGGGGGGACAACGAATAATACAGGGTAGCGGAGGTGCAGACATAAGAAATGGCACAGAAATATCTTCGTATCTTCGTGGCAGCAATATAAATATCTTAAGAAGCTCAATGAATATCAAAAACCTAAATACAACTGTATTTCAAACGCCTCAGACATTTAAAAATGCTCTAATACATGCTGAATCGAAACCAACGTATTTTCTAACACAGTTTTCTTAACAAACAGTACTAAGTGAGAAAAAGGATTAGATAGTACAATATTGCCAGAGTTGCAGCAAAAATAATGCTTTATGAAAATAGATAAATTTTTTTTATATACTAAACTTGGTATCACATGACGTGAATAGATGACGAAGATGAACGACACATACAAACATGATAATCATAACACTGAAGTCATGTACGGCATCATTTACCTCCAACTCGTGACGTTGTGACGACTTTAAAGTGTCACATCAGCATTAATCATTCGTCCTTCACATATCACCGCATCCCACTGTACGTGGGATCAGTCATTTTTTTTCGGATACTAACGGTGAGCTATTATAGACATCATTCAACGCAAGCAATGTGCCAATCTTCGAGAAATGTCAGCGTGTTCTCTCCCTTACCAGCGAACCATGAAGGTGGTGCAATGCGCGCACCCCACTCGTTGCAACGCGTTGGCTTGTAAACATGTACTTTCCCTCTTGGGGCGCAGTCAACTATCTCCGTGCGCGCACCTCTTCGGCGGAGCACACCTCTGGATTCGGGCATCGACGGGGTGGCACCGCTGATCAGGCAGCTCGTTCAGCAGCAGCGGCAGGTGGCGCACTTCCACTTATAGCGCCGCTAATTGTTCGGAAAAATTGACGGTGGCTATTTTGCACATATGTACATGGGTTGCATTACTAGAGATTGTTGTGAGTGGTGTGACAGATGCGGAAAACAACGTGCAGCCCATTTCACACCAACTGCCGCTGATGGAGCGTTGCGCGACTGCTTCGTTAACCGGAAGACTACGGAAAGGACCGCGTTGGCGTGTTACAGATCAAGGGTACATAGATAGACTTGTAGACTCGTTGTACACCGGCCTATAGCATAGCTCAGAAAAAACGAAGAAAAATGTGAAGACAGGACAAAAAACGAAAACAGGACGACCGCTTGTGTTCGTCCTTTGCATCTTCTTTGTCCTTATTTGTTTCAGCGCTATTCTACAAGCCAGTTTATGTTCCAGAACAGCTCACGCAAGACGGCATGCACTACTGTGAAACCACGGGTGGCCGCCATGCAAGTTGTCGTTTTGCCGCTGCAGTGCCCTACTGCACGTGCTGTATCGCCATCTTTCACCCTCCGCTGCGCTCCACGTTCACTGTCCTTTGTGTCCATTCACTTTCTCGCTTATGCCGACCGTAACGCTGCTCAACGCTGCAAGTAGTGCTGAACAGCAACGCTCTAATGCAACCAAGAAGTACTCACAATAGTTCACCTGAAATTGTTCAAGCTCTTCTAAGAAGAGGAAGAAAAAAATATCAGAAAGGCAGGGAGGTTAACTATACTAAGTTCCATTCGCTACCGTACACGGGGAGCGGGAAATCAGATAGAAAAAGAGAAATAGAGAGAAGAGGAGATACACATTGCAAATAACACACACACCGCATACACAGTTCAGGTTTCACAAGCGGTCACACGGTGACGTTGACCTAAAGAATTTTAGAATGGCTCGTGTAGCTTTCTGGGCTGAAGTGCGGGAAAGCTACGCTCCCAAGATCTTCTCCGGAGTAAAGGGTCGATCATCCAGCCTCTTTAATGCACACTGGAGAGTCCGGCCATCTCCTTTAAATTTAGGACAATGGCACAGGACATGGCCGAGAGTTTCTACACAATGGCAGTTATTGTTACAAATTGTGTAGAGGACGAGGAGTGACATTATCATCATCGGGTATTTGAGCGCTGCATTTGAAATAAGGAAGATGTCGACGGGTGGGCTTCGCCATGGGCACAGCGGCTCGTCCTTTTCTCTAAATTTTGGTGCCAAATCCGGGAAAAAAGAAAAGGACGAGCCGCCGTGCCCATAGCGATGCCCACCCTTCGAGAACTTCTTTATTGCAAATGCACTGCTCTAATCCCCGATTATGATAATGTCGCTCCTCGGCCTATACAAACTTTCTAACATACTCCACGCCCCCCCACCCCCCCGTGTGGTCTCATGATGAACAATACCACAGTTGCTGTAAACACTAAACGAACAATGTTCGTCACTATTATATTGAGGTCCAAGTCAGTCCATGCGGAACCATCCTGGTTCGCTCTGCACCTGGTTTTACAACGGTGCTTTTGACGCTTGTTCAATATATGTGCCTTCAGACGCGTCGATTCTGGTGAACTTGCACTCTCGATGATCAGGTGTCATTGGAAGAAACATGGTTTCTTCTGCGAGCTTCTCATGTAGCTTATTTTGAGAAGGTTTGCCTTTGAATTTCTTGTCTTGTATGTTTTTACCTTGAAAGCATCATCCTTCTTCCACCAACCCGAACTTGAATACTTCATTCGCCGCTGTAGCCTTGTCTCAATATACTTAATCAGTAGTGAGGTAGCTTGTACGGTTCGCATTTTTCTCGTCCTTGATGTTGGTAGCTTACTCGTAGAGCCCGTAGGTCTAATACAGGCAGCATGCTCCTCTGAACTTGCAGTTTTTCTCTTGCTTTTTTCGCTTGAATGCGTCTTGATTTGCTTCTCTCAGACATTTCTACACGTGGCTGCGAGGACTGTGTAACATCTGAATCTGTTAGCCTCGGCTTGCACCCATTCTTATTATCCTGTGAATACACGTTTAGATATTCAAAGGCTTCCCGCTTTCCTTAATTCGAAATTTGTCTCTCCATCATATTCACTTGAGTTGTTGCAACTGTCATGTCCTTTGCTTCATTCAGAGTGTATGCTGGCGGGAGTTTCAATGGCGTGGGCCAGTTCTTTGGAAGTAGCGGTTCTGTGCTTGCTTGAATGCTTGTTACAGTAGTGAAATCAGTGACCTCTCGGCTTCGAGCGCGTTGAGCAATTCATCGTGAGTCTGAGTCTTCTAGCTATTATAGAAGAAGATTGCTGCTGAAAACGCTGAGGCTAGGTGGTGGTGCCACAGACGAAGAGTGCAGGTTAGCTTGTACTTCTGTCCAAATTCCTTGCTTCATGACCTGCAAGCGAGATTTTCGAGCATATAATACGTCCGCGATCTCATATTCCACTCTGACCTTGGCTAGAATGATCTGGTGTTCATAAAGCTCTGCTTCGTCTGTCTCAGTTTCAAGCGATCAATATGAACTGTGTCTTCTACTTTTTTGTTGATTTCTTTATTAAACTTGTAATGCTCAATCGAAATTTGTTGAATATATCGTAACTCACTTACTGACGGACGCTCCACGTGTATTAGGCATTAAATGTTGGCGATGGCGTATGTGACGGCCTTGCGCACTTCATTCCGCCTTGCAAACAGGGCCTACATTATCCGGTCCAGTGTCGGAAATGTGAGAAATCACTGGCCGGTCACGTCACTAGGCGAAGTCGCAGTTAACCTGGTGTCCATCACAAATGCTTCGCAGCATGAAGTCTCAAACAATGTCGAGGTGTCATGCTTCTTGATCTGGTTGTCGGGAATGGTTTGGCTTCGCACATCAGCTTCAACCACGGCGGCTTTACAAAAGTCCTGGAGTTTACGGCGGCGGTCGAAATTCGTGAAGTTCTCCGTCTCAGCTTCGAAGGTTCTTCCTCTCGGGTTTCAGCACCAAAATGTATATAAAAAGACAAGCCCATGGCGAAGCCCACCCGTCGGCATCTTCTTTATTGCAAAAGTACTGCTCTAATCCTCGATGATGATAATGTCGCTCCTCGTCCTCTACACAGTTTGTAACAGTTACCACAGTTGAGGGTGTCAGCCATACCAATGCCACATCTGAATGAATTGGTAAAGGAAACGCCGACCTACAATCGACACAGCATTGCAGCGACCCTTCACCAAGTTTTTGATGGCGGCTGTAATTTGAGTAATGAAGCGAGGTTCTGCGGGCGTCGAGTGGAGTTTTCTGGATGAATCCAATGCATAAGTATGGTGTTCGACCTCTTAGCCTTTCTGCTGCGGCGTGGCTCACATTAAGCAAAAACACGTCTTGCCAGAAGAAAAGCTTTCATGGAACTAAAGAAGAAAAAAAGACAAGTGTGAGCGAGCGCTGACACGAGGCCAAGTGTCAGCTCGTGAGGAGACTCAATAATGATGATGACTGCTATTCTGCCGCGATGAATGAATAAAGGAAGCCACAACAGTCTCCCGCGCCGACATATGACGCTAGGTGGCTGCTAGTGGGTACAGCAGCTGCACAGGACGCTTCACAACAGTGCCGTCGGGCAAGCGTAGAAAGCAAGTCCTCACGATGCCGTCACGTCCACCGAT